TCCCTGAGGGGGTGGGTGTGTGCATGTGTGGAGGGGGTGGCAGGGAGCCCTGGGGCCAGCAGGCATCCTGCAGTGGGTGACAGTTGCCCTGTCTTTCTCTTGCAGCAGCTGGAGTTCATCACCCCCTTCCAGCTGTACTTCAACCCTGACCTCATCTTCAGGAAGTTCCAGGTGAGGCCTTGCCTGGGTCAGGGCTGTCACCCTTCTGCCTCTCTTCTGTGAGGAGTGGGGTGAGCCTGTGGTGCTGCCTGACCTCCAGGGGCTGCCTCTTTCTGCCTACTCCAACCTCCTCTCTTTGGTGGGAGTTAGAGTGTTGATATGGTGTCCCCCTCTTACAGAAGCCTGGATGGGGATGGTGTCTTCCAGGCTTTCCCTGCCATAGGTCACCACCTTTCTTCTTGTTTCACTCACAACCTGTCTCTTCCCCCTTTGCACTACTGGGTGAGGTGCTTGGCCGGCTGGATGGGGAAGGCTTTGCTGCAGAGAGTGGTGAATGGTTATGTACTGAATTGTGGCTCTCTGCCCCTTTCAGAAAGGCAGGGGGAAACTTGTCCCCCACCTAGAAGGGCAAGATAGTGGTGTGGGGAGTCCCACATCAGGGAAGTACCATGTGAAGATGATGCAGCTATCTGGTATCTTGGGGTAACTGTGAGTGAAGGGGTGCATGACTGCGTGTCCCTAGTGAATAATGATGGGCTGCTGTACACGTAATGGGAAGACACCTGGCTGTCCACCTCCTTCTCTCTCTCCTCTCTCTTCTCTTTCAGATATGGAGGCTGATCACCAACTTCCTCTTTTTTGGGCCCCTGGGATTCAGTTTCTTTTTCAACATGATATTTCTGTATCCTTTGGTCTCAGTAAAGCTCTCTGCTCCTTTTTTTTTTTTTTTTTAACTCAGATGTGACTCCCTCCTGCCCATCTTCCTTCCCCTAGTTGGCTTTTCTTGATAGCAGTCTGGGGCTGTGGCTTCTTTCCTTGGGTCTTTTGGTCTGAACTGAAGCCAGTCTCCAGGTAATTCTGGCTGTGCCTGTAGTCACCCCCTATGCTTCTGCCTCTGCTGGCTGCAGGGCAGCCCCTGCCAAAAAGGTGAAGAAGGTGGCAGTGCTACTGAGGCATTGCTCTCCAGCATGAGATGGTTCCTGGGGCTGAACTCTGGCCAGCTACAGTGGGCTGGCCAGAGCACAACAGATGACTCTTTCTCTGGGGTCTGTGGTATGAGGTGAAATCTGCACTGTTCTTGCTCTGGGGCTTGGACACCTGGCTGGCAGCTTTCTGTGATGAAACTGCTTGCAGCTGGCTTATTTCCCATTAAGCTGTGCTGGGGATGCAGGGTGGCCAGCTGTTAGTTTCCTATACTGCAACCCCTTCCTTCTCTCCTGCTCTCAGGTACAGGTACTGCCGCATGCTAGAAGAAGGCTCCTTCCGTGGAAGGACAGCTGACTTTGTCTTCATGTTTCTCTTTGGAGGATTTCTCATGACAGTATCCTTTTGAGTTGGTTGAGGCCCTTTGGTCTCTTCTCTGAGATGCTGTGAGTAGCATGGGGTTTGTCTCTTGTCTTTTTGTACTTGGGCTGTCTTGTCTCCAGCAAGCACCTGTCCACTGAACAGAGCAGCAGGCTGCCAAACCTTGGTGGCACGGGCTACGGAGAGCCTTGCTGTTCCCCTGGACCTGCCAGGCTCATGCCCTGTGTGCCTGGGAGGGCTGTGCTGAGCTACGTGGAACTCAGTTGTGGATAGGTGATATCTAGCTGTATGGCAGAGCTTGTGCTGCTTGTCTTGCCCACACTTGTCCCCAAAGGCATGGCCTGTTCCCTAGCCAGGATGTCTGGGAGAGCAGGAGAAAAATACAGGAAAAGCTGCCTGTGTTTCTGTGAGTGACTGTGGAATCACTGATGTAGCTGGCAAGGAGAAGGGCTGCCTCCTCCTAGAAGAGGAGGTGGCAGCATATTGCAGAAGCTCAGCCTGAAAGGATCCTCTCTTTAAGCTCTATGAGAAATCATCCAGCTGAGGCAGTGCAAATGCCGTGCCTGTGCCTGAGCTTGGTAGGTGGAGCCTGTTGAAACACTGCTGAGAATGGCATGAGGCTGGTTTTGAAAATTGAACTGCAATTGAAGTGAAAAATGCAGAGACTTAAGTGTCAAGGGGAGGAGTGCTCCCACATCCTCTGCCTTCATTATGCTGGGCAACATGAGCCCTGGAGTCTGCACTTGCAAACTATCAGTGGCTGGTGGTACTGTCATACTTCCTCTCTCTAGCAAGTTCTTTTACTGTAGAACAAACTGGTCTGGATAGGGAGGGGAAAAAAAAATCTCCTTTTGAAGCATAAAACTTTCTGAATGTCTTGCTGTCATATGCAGAGGGCTGTCAGAGCAAGCTGCCTCTTTTTAGAGACCTTGGAGCACTGCTCACCCCAGGGTGCTCTGCCTGAGAATGTGTGATTTCTCATGAGTGTTGGCCATCCTGAGTGTTTAGCTAGTCAATGTCCAGGTGTCTGCAACAGCCACATGCTTGACCTTAGGTGGATTTGGAGTCTGACTGCAACAAGAGTAGGGGAGCTATCTGCCTCTAGCTGCCTCCTTGTGTCCCAGGGGAGGGCTCTAAATGGCAAGAGCATCTCCTTGCTGGAGTTCCTCTGCAGGATGGTGGTGCTCTGTGGGTCAAGTGTGCTCAAATGTGGCACATATCTAAACCTGCTCACAGGTGCTGTAACAATTTGCTTGCTTGTCCCTGAAGGACTGCAGCTCTTGATGATGCAGAAGTTCCTGTCTGCTGAGCAGGTATTGGCTCAGTGGACAGTATGAGAGGGTTGCAGGAAGGTCAGTTGATCTGTGGAGATGGTAAGGAATGACTGTGGGGACAGATCTGTATTTTGCCCTTGACTTGCTGCAGCACTAGTTGGACTGACCCCATTGAGAAAACGGTAGCTCAAGTTAGCCACCTCCATGGAATGATTTGAGATCTCTGGCTTCACCACTCGGCCACTTGAGGGGGACTGATCGCAGCCACTCTTCCCCAGTGTTTGGGTCAGGCACCCTCTCATGGTGGAGGAGAGAATAATTATCTGTACCCTAGGCTAACTGGGGGTTGGACACTAGTGCTGATCAGCAGTGTATGTGGTTGGGAGGGTGGCTCTGACTACTGGATGGCTTCTGCAGGAGCCTGCTGGTGGCTCAGCCAAATGGGACAAAGTACCTGTGCAGGAGGGCTGGGTGCCCCAAGGCTACTGGAGAAGTTTCTTGTGCGAGGATGATGGGAGGTGCAGCTGGACAGAGTGCCTGCAGCAAGCAGTACTGCAGCTCTCCCTATATGACAGGGTGCCACTAACTTGGGAGACATTGTATGTGGATGACTAGCATCTCTCTAGGGCAAGCCCTGCTCAATGATACAAGAGCAGCTAACAGGACCCCTTTTGTGCGGTCACTTTGCAGAGGTGAAGATAAGAGGTTTCTGGTGGCTGCAGAAGGCAGCTTATAAGTGAGCAATCTGTATGTGATGCTCAGGGGTGCCTTGTTCTGGGATAGCAGGGAGGGAAATGGGGCCTACGTGGGAGGATCGAGTGTATCTCAGCCAGCGCAGGAAAGGCTCAGTCGCATGGGCAACATTTTGCACTGAGGTCGTCAGCTGCCTGTCATTCTGGGTTTCATAGTCATGATGCATCCTGCACCGCCTGGAGCTTGTGAGGTGGTGCATGGAGTAGTTCCTTTCCTTGACTCGGTAGCTCCTAGCTATTTGGCCTCTTTGCCAGCCTGTTTTTCCTGGGCCAAGCTTTCACCATCATGCTGGTGTATGTGTGGAGTCGCAGGAACCCTTACATCCGCATGAACTTCTTTGGGCTCCTTAACTTCCAGGCCCCCTTCTTGCCCTGGGTCCTGATGGGATTTTCCCTGCTTCTGGGCAATTCCATCATCATCGACTTACTGGGTAAGTCAAAGCCATCGACTTACTGGGAACAGATGGTATGCAGCCTCAGCTCTCTCAGCTTTGATAGACTCTACTGGGGCACTGTCACAGTGGCTGGGTTTTCCTTTTATTTAAGATAGTGGCTGAGTCTCTGCTGTGTGGCCAGCCTTCTGGTCAAGCTTCTGCTTGTGACCTGCATCTTGCTGCATTTTTTGCCTGCTTCTTGGAGCTTCCTCGTGCTTTAAGCTCCAAGCTACTCTGCTTCAGCAGGCAAAGGAGGCTCAGCTAAGTCTGACCTTGGTGATGTCTCTTTCCCAGGGATTGCAGTGGGTCACATCTATTATTTCCTGGAAGATGTCTTCCCCAACCAGCCAGGAGGAAAGAAGTTACTGTTAACTCCAGGCTTCCTGTAAGTAAAGATGATGTTCTCTGGGGTCTGCTGTGTTGCCTCCTAACCCAGATCACTCTCACAACAAACTATGGTGGCTGGACCAGTAAACTATGCTGGACCTCGCGTGGGCTGCTACTTGTGTCGCTGCTCCCTCCTCTGTTAAGCCATAGGACCTAGCTGCATGCTGGTAGCAGCTCATGCCTCTAGCGTAGAAAATGCTGGCATTTGGTATACTACATACATATGTACGTAGGTCCCATAAAGTAGTTGCTGGTACCTTAAGCTTTGCTACCTGAACTGGAGAGTTATTAAGAAAACACTAGATGAAGATAGATGGTTTTTTTGTGTATATGGTTTTTTTTTTTCTAATGCACTTCTATAGCTTAAAGTGGAACATGTTCTGCCTCATGCTGAGGATCAAAGCTATCCTAGACATTAAAGAAGCAGGTACAGTCAAGGTTAAAGGTCAAGTTGAGCAAAAGAACAGTTTGTGCTTGCACAATAGACCAGCAGCTTTGTGTACAGCCAAGCGCTACCCTTCCTGTGAAGGCCTAAGATGCTCCTGGGAGGGCTGGGGAGGTTTTCATTGTCCTCGGCTCACCTTAACCTGCCTGCTTGGTGGAATGGGCATGTCCCTTGCTAGGAAGATGGTATTTGACACACCTGAAGAGGATCCCAATTACAACCCTCTCCCTGAGGATCAGCTAGAAAACCAACCTGGAGACCAAGACCAGAACCAGCAGCAGCGTCCACAATAATGTGAAGAACTTCTCCATGCGACCAGATTCTTCTCTTCCTGCTGGACTTATGTGGTGCCCCAGAGATCCTACTGGAATAACACCAGTTGCCATTCTAATGTGTACTGTTTCGCTGTTTGTATGGGTAACCCATCTTCCTTTTGTTCCAAGTGGTTCCACAGAGCTTTGCACGTGAAAACTGATGAATGTTTATAGAAGTATTCTAGGGACAGGGGGTGGAAGTTACGTGATGCTCCTCAGTCACCCAACAGGGAGTAAGTATCCAATGGGGCCTTAAACCAGTTACTCCTTCTCTTGCTATTACTGACTTGCAGTGTACCATGTCACTTCTGCTCTTTGTACAAAGACCAGTGCTCCCTTTGCAGTGTTGTGAGACATCACTGTGGGCTTTCAATCAAATAATACTCCCTGGCATGGTACAAACACAGTCAGATCTCCCAAACAAAAAACTACTGTAGCAGAATGCAGTTCAGCCCCTCCCTTTTCTCTGAGGGCCCCCCCCCCACCTTTGCCCTTTTTTGTTTCCAAAGAGTCTTTATATTAAAATCTCTATTTTTCAGTTGTGTGTCCTTTTATGCCAAAGGCAGAGGCAGTTATCGCTTTCTCTGTAGGCTAAGTCATCAGTACTGATCAGGACTGTCCTCAAAAGTGCCAGGCTTTGAAGCAGGCAAGGGAAAAGGCAGGCTTGCCAGATGATGTCTTCCCTGCTTCTGTCAGCAGGGAGTGTGAGGTGTGATTGTTGGAGAAGGGGATACCTGGGAAAGGTCATCTTTCTGGCCAGAGCAGAGCTGAAAGCTTGTTCCAGTCTGTGACCAGAAGTAGAACTTGGAGCTAGTAATAAAGGCTAAGCAAGCAGTGTAGTTCCACTCTTGTTGAATTTCCTAGTTCTTAAACTAAAACTCTGAATTTCAGGGGAAAGCTGACCAAGCTTGTCCCCACCATGAGCAGCTGTACTAAATGGAGTTGATTGATCTTGCTGGATTGGTGCATGTGTCTGCTTACACCAGGCCTTAAAGCTATCAGAATAACACTGCCTCAAGCATCATACTTTGGGATAGCTCATATAATGTTTGCCTAGTTCCATGCTTGCAAAACACCACTAACAGAACCACTGTAAGTAATGTGAGCAAAGAGCGGTAGAGGAGCCTTGTGCCAGAGGAAGATTGAACCACAACCATCCCTATCTAATCCTCTTTGTGGGCTTCTGATGAAAGCACTGTGTTTATTAAAAATAGGACTTCATCAGAACAAGTGATTTTACTGCACTTAGGTTCCTCTCGAGGGAGAGGATGAAAGAACAATACAAGTAGTAATCTTCTTCTGGGAGCTACAGTGCTAGTGGTGGCTAAGCAGCCTCAGACCCAACAAGCTGTGCTTTGCTCTTGACCTAATAATGCAGAGCTGGTGTTTCAAGCCCTGAAAGGAGTTTGTCCTTAAGGTCTGCAAAGAACTTGTTCTCAATTGTTTCCAAGATGTGTGTGACTGAAATGTGGAAGCTGTGTCGATTCTTCCCTGAATGCCTTGGGGGAGAGCACTAGGCTAAGTTCAGAAGTTGGGATGTAGGGCAGCACAGCTACCCCCTAGCTGTTTCCTAGTAGGTAAAAGCCCTGACAGTTGCAAAAAGCCAGAGAAAGTCTGATCTTTCTGAGGCTTGGACCCTTTGACTTCCCTGCCTCCCTCCTGGCTGCTTGGAGGGGCAACTCCTACAGTTTCTATGGGGCTCAAGAGTAGAGGGAGGTACCTGTAAGTCCACTACAGAAGCTGCTGTCCTCATGTGTCTTTATCATGCCTGTTGTGAACTTTAAAGGTTAGGTAACTGCACACCTCACAGGAGTACAAGAAAAGCACCATGGTTGCTAGGTTTAAGGTTGTAGCAGTTTCATGCATGTTTTCATAACATTCACTGAAGAGACTGATTGTAGGAGAAGCATCTGATCATAACAAAAACAGGCTGAAGTGTTCCTGGGAAGAGCTGGAGTCTTTATAGCCACAAGACAAAATATGTGTTCTGCAACAGAGACCAAGATGGAGCAGGAATCCCATTCTTATGTGTTGAAATAACCTTTCAGTCTTTGTAACACAAAATAATGTTGAGAGCACCACTCTGGCACAGGAGCCTAGGATAAAACTGCAGTAATTGCTAAATTGCAAGTTTTAGATTTCTGCAGAATAACATCTGGAAGAAGTTCCCTCCCACCCAGGAATCAGAACTGTCTCTGCTATTACTCAAGCCTAAACATGATAAAGTAAGGCCAGAATGTTTTTTTTTTGACTGTGCTAGCAGTATGGGTGGATGAGCAAGGATCGCAAAACCCATTGGCTTTTTCATAGGGGCCTGAACACAACTGTCATGCTGCCAGCAAAATCTGCCCTGCTTGCAACAGTCTTCATTTCCTGGCAGTAAAAGGTAGGAACTCCATCAAAGAGCCAGCATACTTCAGCAGAAAGGTAGATTCTAATTAGTTTTTTTTTTTTAATGCAAGCTGAAACTTTTTAATCTCACTTCAATGATTTTTCTGTTTTTTAAACTCTCCAGGGAAAGCAGGTTGTTTTGAGGGTCACAAAAGCCTGACACCTCAGTACTCAGGGTATTTAAGACCACACACTGTGCTTGAGTAAGTTTAGTTTTGTGCGCTGTAACTGACTGCCCTCTAACACCCTGTGGTCTGACAAGGACCCCAGCAAAGCTACTTGCTGAAGAGGAGTCTCAGTAAGTTATTGCAGGCTGTAACTTTTGTACCAGTTTAGAGACTGTTCTTTTCCAACTGTAGTTTTTGCAGACAAAAGGCTTGAAAGCATGACACTGTAGAAGGCTGACACTTGATAGAAATGAATGCTAAGTTTAACCAGTCATGAGCTGTTTACCGTCATCAAGTAAGCCACCTGAACACCTTACCAAGTTAATTAGACTGCACCAACTGTGGTAACAGTTCTAGACCAGTCCTTTGCAGAGAATGGTTTGTTTCTTTCTAGTTTTAGATCCCCCTATTCTCACTTTTCCTCTGCAGCAAAGGGCTTGCAGGCTGTTTTATCCACTAAAGGACAGGACTCATTTTCCACCATGCTTTAGGACAACTGAATGCATGTGGGTGTTCAACACTACACCCAAAAGCATTAGCATTAGGCTTTGGGACTGCTCAGTTGCCAGAACAGCAAGAAACATGGTAAGATTTGATACTTGTTTAACTTACTGAACTCAACCGAAGTAGCATACATTCCTTTTATTTAAAAAGTTGTCCTAACAGTGCATGTTGCACCTATACAAAAGAATCTTTACACTGTCCACACACAGGTATGTAAGGGCTCCAACAGGTGCCACAGGTCTCAGACAGATCACATGCTAATGCAGCATTCTCAGTACGTGGCCTTTAGATGGAGGGGATGGGGGCAGAAGTCAGCAGTACTGGGAACTGCTTGGCAAGTGGAATGTGTGTCCCCTTTTGGGGACAGAGAGACCCCCTGCCAATCCTAGATCCATTTGGGGAGAGGAGTTGGGATAAAGTCTGTAGGAAGAGCACCAGTGTCACAACAGGAGGATTACCAGGCTGGAGCAGTATTGGCCAAACGTCTCATGCGCCTAGGAGAAAGAAAGAGGTGTAGTTAGTGCTATGTTACTGTCATGCAAAGCTTTACTGAAACTGACACTCTTGGGGAGGTTACTGCAGTTCTGTGAACGTCTAAGACAGGCTTATTGCCTAGACAGACTCCCTTGGTCACCTGAGAGTGCCCCTGTTGATAATGCTATGATATGCTACTTTTCAGCAACTATTTTTAGGGGAATTCTGATCATTAACTTGGATTGAACCAATTCCTATGGTGAGTGATTCAAACTGCAGTAGCTGAGAAGCAAAATTATTCTGAATCTGTTAATCTGCAATAACAAAATTCCTAGTAAATACGCTGGCTCAGCTCTTTCCTGTTCCAACAGTGCGTCTTGTGAAGAGATTCTAGCAGTTCATTTCTACCTGGCAGGAGCAATTTCACCAAGTAGGTACAAGTGCTCTTGACTGCTTGTGGGATACTATGCAGTGGCACTCTAGAGCAGGCAGAGCTCCTCTTGGAATCACAACAGTGCTCCCATGCTGGCAAACAGGTAGACATCTATCAGGCTGGAGCTGGGAGCTTGCCTGTTCCTACATCAAACCGAACTTTACCCAACATAAAAGGAAGCCTCGTGGCAGGATTCTAGTTAGCATGACAGTGCATGAAGCGCTGGTATTTTTGATGAATGTCTTCCTATAGAAACAGATCCTCCTGCACAAGCAGGGAGCTTGAGAGAAAAACAAAACATAGCAAAACTTTGCTTCAAGCAGGAGATGGTTAAAGTGAAGATTTAAGTGTTTGTGGAGCAAGGTGATAACAGTTTAATATCCTGAAGCAAAAGGGATATGCGTTTCTGTTGTGGTGTACGAGTTTGAAATCCTGCCAGTTGGCTCTCAGCAGAAAAAGACAAACATCAAAGCTTTTAACTTCTGTCTTAGCGGCAAGCCAGAAAAATAACTGTCTGAATGACAGGCGGCACCTTGTATTTCTGTCCTGGTCTCTGATCTTCTTCTCCATCTCAGCATCTGTGAGGGTTTCCAGAAGAGGGCACCACTGGTCAGCATCCCCTGTGTTGCGAATGGCAATTTCCACAGTTGGCAAAGGGTTCTCGCTGCAGTGGCAGGGCAGAAGGCAACAATGCAACATTCATCAGTGGTCTGACCGTGCATTCCTCTGGGTTACTGGCCCAGATGTAAGACACAAGGACAACAGAGCGCCATTTAAAATGTTTCAGTCCTGCTAAGCATTCCTCCTTAGCCTCGCTCAGTACAGGCTGGCTCCTGAAGTATGCCATGGGCCAACCATTACAATCTTGTGGAGCCTGGAGTTTCTGTGAGACCAGCTACTACCATCTCCTTTCAGCACTGCAGAAGAGATTTGTCAAAGCAACTGCAGCTGAAGCAGTTCCCTGCTCACAACGGCCCATTACATAACTGACTGACGGTGTTCAAACTGAATAGGCACAGGCAAAGTTCATACCAGCTTATTAACGCTGGGAGCTTCTCCCAAAGTAGTTTTTGAATGTTAACAGGGCTCTTAATCTAGCTTTGCCATTCTACAACTCAGACTTCCCAGCCATAATTGGCCTAGTACACCTCTAACAGTTCTTCCCTAGCAGCTCCTGGCAGAAGTCTAGCTTCCTAAAGATGGGAGTCCAATAGCAGAACAAGTTTTGTTCTCCCAGTTCTCATAGAAAGGGTAGTCTTTTGGGACGTGCTGTTTCAGCTAAAGGCTGCGGCCATGGGAAAACCCACACTTGTGCTAGTCCCTGCACAAGCAGTGGCATGGCAGGCCCTGTCCCAGATCACAAGATCTGCTCCTTGGAGATCTGTCTGCCCTGAACAGCTGTATTATCACATGAACAAAAGTGTTTACTGCTTCACTAGCCACTTTTCAGCAAAAGTCAACAGGAACTGACCATGAGTAGCTTCCCAAATATTGATAGTGGAGCTGGAAGCCCAGCATAAATACAGATGAGCCTCAGAATGTAAATGTTTGCTTCGAATTCTAGAAAGTGGCTCAGCCTGAACTGTGCAAAGTGTTTGAGAGAGGAGTGCTCCTGCAGGTGTGCGCGCACACACATCCGGCTCCTGCTGCTGCAACATTCCTCCATGCAGAGGATTTCAGCACTTACACAGAGCCACCTCGTTCACAGGAAGAAATTAAACTGCTGATCACCATGGGAACAGACTATGTCTGCATCAAAGCTATTAATCTAGAATAACAAGTCTTCAAAATAACACTACAATGAAAAATTCATCCAAAGCCTTCTGTATCTGATCCTGAGAGGAAGCGTTAGTCAAATCTACTTCCAGTATCTCCAATGTCCACTAAGCAACACTTAAAAACAGGCTTTTCATTTTAATCCCAAATTGCTACAGATTCCAGAAAACCTGCTAGATTCTCAACTGTTTGTTTGTTTGGTTTTTTTTGGTATGGTTTCTACCTCATTTACCATGCTCAGCCTTGTCCACTCCCCCTGCCCTTTTTTTTTTTTTTAAGCACAAAAGGACAGTGCTGTTGGCCGAATGACTGCAAGATTCACAGTGGAGCAAGGCACTCCCTCTCCTGGGGTCCAAGCCTCTGGCAGTAGGTCATGAGCATGCTAATGCAACCAACAGGGCAGCGAAGCATCTTTCTCTGGAAAGGGTAACTTCTCAGACACATGGGCTCAGCGGGCAAGAGCCTGTGCTACCATCCAGGTCTCGGGGCAGAATTCTGGCCATGGAGCACTGCATGTGCCCCCATTAGAAACACTCAGTACCAGGACAGGAAACATCGTAGCACACCATCCCCCTGAAAATCACATTACCTGCCTGCTTCCAGTCCTGCCACTTCTGTTGGGCTTTCAGGCTCCCTTTGTCATGAACAGCGTGGACCAGCTGAAAGAACTGCCCTGGATTTCATCAACTTACTTAAAGACGGTTTCACCTCTCCCTCAGATTATTAAGAGCCACATGACTTCTCAAACTCCCAGTCCCT